CCCATGGAGCACCGTCTTCGATGCCGTTCAACATTGAGAAACCCCTGCGGGTGCCTCCTTGGGGAGATGCGCAGAGGAAGCATGTAATTCCAACCAGAAAGCAAAGCCAGAAGACCCGCAAGCCCGAAGCCTGACACTTGTGCGCCAGCAAGCCCCTAAAAGTTGATCCTGCAGCCTTGGGCATGGTGCCTCTGCGACTTGGCCAAAGTGTCAGTATGGAATCTGCGGTCTCGACGTGTTTTCAATCCTCCCCAACTGGTGTTGCTTGTGTTGAACCCCTAACCCTAAACCCTAAACGCAAATCACAGAGGTCCCGGACTGTTAGAATATCTTTCGTTGTTTTGGGGTCTATTCTGGCGTGTTCTGACCTTTGGAGAAGGTTGCAGGGTAGCCGATAGCCACAAACTGGTGCCTGATTACCTATAATGTATACTTAAACGGTTGCTGGTGGTTGCAGCCATGAGCCCGAAACACTGGAAGTTGAGAAGGTCAAATCCAGCTTAAGCTATATACTTCGATCAGTCTGGAACAACAGCGGTGATGGCAGATGTCGAAACGTTGGCTTACATGGCTGGTCGAGTTCAAGACCCAGTTGTAACCCCAGCCTTAGGCAGTTTTCGGTGTTTCGATTCTAGTGCACGTGGTATGCTGGAATCTTAGGTTTTTGAAAAACTTTGAGGGTTTGGGGACAACCGTTGGGTTGAGAAGGGTCTTAGAGTGTTTAACGGCCTCAACAGCTTTCGAATCCCAAACCCTTGGTCTCAAAATGGCCCTAGTAGTAGAGCAGGTAACCTTTAACCTTTTTTGGTTAGTATAGCCCTTATATAATCCCTATATAACCAAGATGGTTAACCTTTAGTTCCGCATGATACCCGACAAGTAGGTAGCTCAACAGCCGAATGCAGCATCCCAATGGTCTCCAATACAGCTCTCCCTTGGGGGTTGGTACAGGACACGAACGCTGCACACTATAAGCAAACCCACAGAAATACAAGGCGTTGCAGTATTTTGATATAATTGTGGGTTTGGGGATCCTGACTGCAAGCACACCTGTAATATGTACCCGAAGCCTTGCTAGCAGCACCTACCCACAGGGTCCTCTATAGGGGGAATAGTCTCCCAAAGCAGAATAGTAGTTCCGAGTATGGAAACCCTGCATTCTACTAGATTTCGTACCTTGGACCCTCATACGGTTCTTTATAATGACTATGGTATAATGTACCCCAAAGCCCTAGTCCATTTATTAAGGGTACTGAGGCCCCTTTGGTCTTAGGGATCGTTGAAGCTGGCCTTAGCCCAGGCAGAGCTACTAGCGACCCCTTGCCAGGCGGACGGCACGGTCTTTCGGTCTTTGATTAGTATAGGCAGCGGAGTAGATGCATATAGTATAGTCTAGTATCCCCTTAGATTCCCCTCATAATTATGGTACAACATATACCCCACAGCCCTTTTCTGTTGCTTTGCTGCTGTTTCAATGGGTGGGAAGGCTCGGAGAAGGTTCCAGCGACTGGGGAAGTCGGAACTAAAGTTGTTCGCTGGGAGCTTGAGGAGGGCGGCAGAGTATAGTGGATCTGTGAATATATGACCGATTATCCCGACATGTATATTGCTTTGGGCTTGCTGTATAGGTCTTACCTCGTGTTCATAGTATTTGAGGCTCTTCCTCACGGTTCCGATGATACAGTATCACCTTCCTATTCTACAAAAGGGCCCTGTCTGCGGTTTGATGTTGTAATGCGGAGTAGCTGCAGGTATGACCAGGGCTTGACGCTGATCGCGTTTCGGTACTGGTCGTGGGGTTTATGCCTCCGGGTTTAGAGTTGACGACCATGGGGTCAAAATGTTGGGGCCATAATAGTTAGAATAGGGTGTTTGGGCCCGTTATACTATAACTACAACAAGGAACCCCCAAAATAGTATTGTTAATCATTAAGATTAAGGCCCCTATATTAGGATCTGGGGCTTGTGCTTGTGGCCGCTTCGCGGTTCATCTCGGGGGACTTGCTGTTGACCCATAAGGAATATGGTTTAATCCAGGTGCCTGAAGAGTTCGTGAACATGTCTCTTTTGTTCTAAGCAAACAAGCCTGACTAAGCTATCAAACATATCCAAAGGTCTTATATACTACTGTTGGTGAGGTTGTGGTGGTCCATCAAGGAGGGTGTCTAGAGATTTCGGGCTTGGTTTTCAGACCCTAACCTCTCAACCCTCATGCCTCGTTCCCTAACGACTGAAGCCACACAAAGCCTACACCCGGCAACCCTAACGACTGAGCGTGGCCTAAAACCAAAACCTGGGCCCTAAAGCCTTCATTAACTCCTCAAGCCCTGCACCCCTATAATTTCATAAGCCCGAGAAGCGCTGGCACCTGCAGCTCTGCTGCGTCCTTCCTATTGAAAATTCGTTGGGGATCCTTGCAGGGGTCCGAAGAGAGAAACTGGAGTTTCCGAAAATTTAGGGGGAACCTTGTCTTGGGGTCCTTATTATAAGGATCCCACTATTTAGGGTACTATATTGGGGTCCCCTGGGTCCCCAATTTTCGGAAGCTTTCAAATCGAGAAAGAGACAGCCCACGCAACCATGCAGCCGGCGTTGCTGGCGGAGCCAAGCGAGCGAAACAGGACGTCCTGGGCTTCTACACAGCTTATGACGGAGCCACGAGATGCTGCCACCAGAAGCCTCTGGTTCCGAATGAGCTATACTTTGGCAAAGGCGCCGGGGCAACAACAGCGCCGATCTCGCAGCATTGGGCGATCCCAGCAGGCACCTGCCGAACGCAACGTGCGCCAATGCTCCGATGTTGCCCCTGGGGCTCGAAGTCATGACCCAATACATTCCAAAACTCTTGCAGCGACGTGTTTCGGCACCGGGATTGGAAACATGCCTCCATAGTCAGCTTGCTCTCGGATTATGCTATCAAGCAGAAGGTGTCGTAGTTCTACTGCCCAAGGGTCCTACGTACCCATAGAGTAGCATGTATAGGGTTTCTACAGTAGGAATTACTATTATGATTTGGGAAGTTATCCCCCCTTATCCCATGACGTTCCCTCACACCTTTTTTGGGTTAGCACCGCAAGCCATGGGTCTTTGGTGCATTCCCAACATGACAGACCAAGAGTAGGCCCTGTCCGAAGAAGCCCTGCTTGGCTCTCTTCCTTTCGTTGTCCGGACTTTGCCTTTTATCTTCTTAGCTTCTTGAGTTTAAACAGGAGGCAGATGCAGCCAGTACTTATAGAACGGATTAGTACACTAAGTTCGAAAAAGGTCGCTGTACATGAGGCCCAAAGATTTCCAAAGCAACTGCCGTACACGCTCCCGTGCTTCTACGGCGCTTTGTAGAGCCGTGGAAGAAGGAATCATAGGTGAAACCCAAAAGCAACATTCTACTGCGCAGGAGGATGGGAAACCAGCTTCCTGTCAAGTGCCGCGCTCAGCAATTCTGGGTTGACGGCTTGGTAGATCTTGGGGCGTGGGACTGTCATAGGAGGCCAAAAGGGGTTTTAGCTTATGGGGGTTTAGTAGGGATTAGGGTTCCCATAATCGGGTTCATATTAAGGAATCCCTACCACAAGAATCTTAACCCCCCTTCTGGCCTCCCATCATAGATTCAATGTTGGGTCACCGGACCTCGAGCCCCTGCTTTCCATTTAGCCCAGGACTCCCAACGCAGTAGAACATCCCCAGTAGGGGTCCCGTCCTGAGGATGGCGCTTATATGATAAACCGGATGCCCGTTATGGTATAGTATAATTTGGTGATTCGAGTTTTCAATTTATGGGCCAATTAGGGCCACTGAGGCTTGGTTAATAGTCTTGAAGCACTACATATTGGGATTTGCATTTTGAGGTTTAGGCTGTAGAATACCCTAAACCCTAAACCCTAACCCGCTGTGCCAAAGCTTGATGCTCAAAAGAGCCCAGAGCCCTATATCGTGTGGTCTTATGGCCGAGCCTCGCATTATGGTCCGTTGGGCCTGCGGATAAACCCAGACCGTATGAAGCCCCAAAGTGATAAACCATCAAAGCCCCAAACCCCCTTAAGCCCTAAGACTCGACACCCTGCCCTAATGTTGTTCAACCCCACCCACTATCGCCCCATCACGGCGTATGGGGGGGGGGGGGGGGTTCTTTTCATTGAGGTCTAAGAGAATCCTCAAAGGAGCCGTTAGAGAATCCAAGAGGGATTCTTAAAGAGGGACACCCTCTACTCCAAACCCTGAAGCCCTTCAGAATCCGCAAAGGAGCTGCAAGAGAATCCCTAAACGCCTTGTTTTACCCTTTGTTTGAAACCATTTTAGAACATGATGTGCCCCTTTACAGGAACCCTATTCTAAATGATTAAGGCCCCCCTTTTCTTTTGCTTCGATTCGGCTGCCATGGCCATTCCCTCGCTCTCGCCATCGCCACCGCATGCACTGGGTGGAGGCTTCCTCGGCTGCCTTATGCTTGTTTGAGTTCCGAAAATTAGGGGTACCTTATTTGGGGGTCCTTATAGTAAGGATCCTACTATTTAGGGTGCGATATTTTGTAGACGATGTCAGACTACCATTACCATGTATCGATTGTCTATTTCTGAATTCAAGCTTCTGGATTTTTTAGGGATTGTATAAGGGCAACAAAGCTTCCGCTGTACATTCCCTAAACCTGGAAACCCTCGAGCCCAAGACTTGTGGAAGCCCGGCCTACCTAGGGTAAATGCACTCCCGACCCTAAATTCCTCACACTTCATCCCAAACCGGAAAACTCCTTCAACTTGTAAAAAGCTAAAATTCCTCAAGCCCCACAGCCCCAGCCTGTAATCTTGCAACCCCAATGCCCGAATCCCTGCAACGATCCTAAAACCCCCATGTGAGCCCTGACGAGTTGAAGCAAGAGTCAAGAAAGAATCTTGAAGAATTCGCAAGAGTAGCTCCTCATAGCCCTTGAATGAGATAGACAGTACATTCCCCAGAATCCTTAAGCCCTGAAATCTGGAAAGCCCGCACTGAGTGCCCGCGTGCAGATGCCGGCTATCGGTCTCCTCCCCAACCTAGCTTCGACTTCGCTTTCGACGAGGCGACGCGGTGGCTTGAGGCTTCAGACTTTATGGAGTCGTGGTTATGGTCTGGGGCCTAGGGTTTTTTCTGTAGCGATTTTGCTGAGGTTTTTAAGGTTTACGTATGCATCGGGTAATGAAGGTTCTTGGTTGGGGAACCTCTGGTTGCGGCCTGCAGGTTGTTTGGATTTTGAGACCTTTCAGGCGTACAGCTCGCGGCTTAAAATGCAGGGAGTTGGACGAGAAATGTTACGGTGCGAGGTCGTAGGTTCAACTATTCAAAAGAGTCTGATCGTCGGAGGTTCCAACGGACCCATCAGTTGGTTACGTGAGTTTTGGATGGTGGTAATGTAGGTTAGTTTTGTGAGTAGGCTAGTGTTTGATACTTGAACCCTTGCGGATCTGTAGTTGGTGTTTTCCTGATATGCAATAGATGCGCGAATCACGCGGATGACCTGCAGTTTTGCACACCTCCTCACAATGAGTCGCGCCCGACAATGCAGTTCTCAAACCTGATAAGGAGGCATGTTACAGTCAGTAAAGAGTTCACACGCTTCCTGTGGCTTGTTGAAGGGCTGTCATGGAGCTTGTCTTGTCGTTTGCAGTTATGATCTCCTGTCGCGCATTCCGCGAGAGTCTCTTGCAAAGCTGTCGTGTCTTCCCGGATAAAGACATATTTGACCGGAGTCGTGCGTATGCCTTAAACCCTTGTACCCGGGAACCCTGACTTACCAATCCACCCGCAGGAGCCTTTGTCTGCCAGTGGGAGATATAGGCAATGAAAACAGATGAAGAGCACCTGAAGTCCCTGAACTTTGAGCTCTAGTCTCCATAGGAATTCTTGTTGTATTTTCGTTCATATAAAACCCAAGCGAATATGTGAACATATGATTTTTATTATGGTTCTAAGGACGGTATAGTGAAATTCGAAAGCCCCAAACTCTACAAAATCCTGGAAGCCCAGATGCCCGTCTGGCACGCTTCCGTCTGTCCGCCAAAGACCCCCGCAGTATAGTAACCCACTCAGTATGCAGGTAACTGGGCTGAATGCCCAAGAGACAAACATGCCTTAGGGGTACTTAGAAATGATCTTTACTTCTTGGTTATTATAATCCCTAAGAAACGCTAAAATTATTATTTTTGCTAGGGTTCTAAGTTCAGTATAGTCTTCGAGCGATCAGACCTGGGAGCCCGAATTTTGGCCCCTACAGTGAACCCCAGAAAGCTGGAACATGCATTAAGGATGATTAGTGCTAGGATTCCCGATACCTTACGTTAAGGGCATGGGGATAATGATGTTCCAACTTTCTGGCTTCTACTATACATCCTCAACCCTTGAAACCCCAAACCCCCAACCCCCTGGCTGGACCCTGAAAATTTAAACTCTCCGAGTCCCTGAAACCCTAATCCCATAAGATCAGGCCTGGGTGGCCCAGGTGAACCATGTGAAGAGGATCCTTGGTCCATGTACGAAGGCCCTCATGGTAAACCCCAATTCCTTTAGACTACTGGGTGGTTGTCCAAACTAGGGCCCCTTTTGGGCACCCTAAATATTAGGTGCCGTATTATAATTATAAAGGGATCCAAAAAGGGATCATAATTTTGACAACTACCAGGGTTTAGGGTTTGGGGCTACCTTTCAAACCTAGTCACTTGAAGCGTAGACCCTGTCAACCTGGATCACGATCCTCGGCCCGTAAACAATCATCTCGGGTCTTTCATCGGGCAGTGTTTCCTTAAATGGGAGTACCGTACCAATATCGGAGTTAAATTGCATAGTAGGATCCCGCCCCACAGATTTCTGTGTGCTTGGGTAGGGGTATACTAGCGGCTAGCTATCGATTTGGGATAGTGTTTGACATTTCCCTCGTTTCCCTTCTTGTTTAGTCTCTATAGACCCCTGGTTACAAATGACTTGGGGAACTGTGGTTGGACTCGACACCCAGTATAGGAGCCTGGTACCTGCAAATGGGACCCGTGAGTCTGATATTATCCTCTGGGCGAGTCCTCAGGTTCGTTCGTTTCTGCTTTTTTGTTGTGGCTTTTGCTGATGTAGAGGTTTTTTCGGGTTCAGGCTTCGGAGTGCGAGATGGGCTGCGATCAGCTGCTGGGTGGTGCTGATAATGTGCAGATCTTGTTCCGCACAGGCTACCGGACTTAGTTGCCCCGTCTTGTGAGGATAATGATACTTACATTTGGCAGGGCCTGGGTCGTGCCATGCAAACCACACAAGAGCAAGGTCCGAGCGTGTCGCAAGCCCTTTCTACCAGACCAAGGACCTGTCCAGGCAATCTCAGGTAGGATTTCAACCAGGGCAGCATGTGCGAGCATGTGAGATCTTGATGTTGCAGAATCCTTTAGCCCTTTAAAGGGAACTCCAGAAAGTTGGAATATGGTTTCAGGGTAGGATACCTTATAATATACCATAAAGGGCTTAGGATAATCATATTCCAACTTTCTGGCTTTTACTTTAACTGCAGGCCCTGTGCAGCTCCAAACACACGAAGCTGGGCTCCCGAAACCTCGAGACCGCCTGAAGCCTAGACATCGCATCCTTAGTTAAAGCCAACGCCCCACAGCTCCCAAGATCCTTGAGTTGAGTGTTACCTGGATAACCCTTACAATAGAAGCCGAAATTGAAAAGTTGGAAACCCGATAGCCTCAATCCTTAAGAGTCATGTATAAGAAATCCTAGCACTATTTGGCCTTAATCCGGTTTCGAAATGTTATGTGGTTTACTGTAACCTCTTACATCTGTAAATCTCAGACATGTGTCGTGTCATCCGAGGAAAATCCGCAGCGAGCTAAACCTGCCCGACTGGCAGAAGTATGGCTTCGGCCATAAGCGGGTGGCCTGTCTTCTTGAAGAAGCAGGGCTGAGTTTGTTGCTGGGGTCTAACTAGTAGTAACTAGCAGTTGAGGGTTTGCCAGCGGCAGTACATGCAACAAAGAGAAAAATCAGATGGTTGCTTGAATGTTGTCTGTATATATGCCGCAGATGTATATGTATGTATGCATGTATGTGTATGTATGTGTATGTATGTGTATGCATGTGTATGTATGTACCGGTATATATATATATATATATATGTATAGATGCATGTCTGCCTAGGAACCACTAACTCAGGACCACGCCTCTGCGTTACACTGTAGCTGCTGGGCTAGGACTGCAGGCTCCCGCTAGGACGTGGAGAGTGAGAGCTGGCTATTTGTAATGCAGGAACCTGATGAGGCAACCTTGACCTTCATAAATTAGGGTTCTTCATATGAATCCTAATATATTGGGGGTTATATGGCCAGCGTTTCTTAATCAGGTTCCTACATTAGGGGCATTAGTAATTACCTATTACACTATTCTCGGGGGGTTCCTTCAAAGGGTCCCTTAAAGGGCTCTATAAGGGACCTAAGTAGGGTTCTATGGTATAGTACGGTATAGGGGCCACATTAATTGCCAATACAATTTTGGGGGTTCCTTGTTATACTTATAGTATATTGGGCCCCAAAACCCTATTCCAGTCATTAAGGCCCCCAAATTTATGCCCAAAATTCCAGGGAGCAAGTGAGGGCTTTCATTCAGAGACTGATCTCGACGCGGTGATTCCCCCGACAGGGGACTCGCCGTCTTAGGAAGCCACCAACCTCTATGAAATTGAGAGCCCTAACTCCACCCCCTCACCCCCTAAACCCTAAACCCCTCCCCCATAAGAACAAAGCAGCCGAGGCCGCGGAGTTCGAGCAGCTCGCAGCCTCCGGAGACGACCCGCCTGGGGCCGTGGCGCGGGAGACAGTAGCGATGAGCCTGGAGGAGCTTACCTTTGGTTAGTGGGGAGTGGAAGAATGGTAGTAACAGTAGTTATACCGATTCCTCCATTCCCTACTAACCAAAGCCCGGTGCTTTTGAAGAGTTTGGGATGCATTCTACTAGGCTTCAGGGTGAATTTTGGTGGGTTTTTCTGAAGGGTGCAGCGTATATTTTTGGGTTTAAGGGAGGAGAGCCCCTGAGGTTGCATAACAAGGCACCCAGTTTGGGATAAGGGATCCATAGAGGGGTTTTGAAACACCCGGTGTTTTGGAAGGGTTGGGGGGGCATTATAAGGGCAGAGTACTGGGGTTCAGGGTGAATTTTGGGGGTCTAAAGAGCCCCTGAGGTGGCATAACAAGGGACCCAGTTTGGGGATCAGGGATCCGTAGAGAGGTTTTGAAACAACACCGGTGTTCTTGAAGGGTTTGGGGTGCATTACTTGGGCTGAGTACTTGGGTTTAGGGTGAATTTTGGGGGTCTAATTAAGGGTTTAGCGTTTATTTTTGGGGGTTTAAGGGTTGGGGTGTAGTATTTGGGTTTAGGGGTTCAGGGCTTTGTTTACTCAAGACGGCAGCATGCCATCATGCTGAGCACGGCACAAACGGATTTAGAGTGTGGGAGTTTAAAGGGCTTCAGGGTTTAGGGTTTAGGGTTTAGGGTTTAGGGTTTTGGGTTTAGGGTTTAGGGTTTAGGGTTTTGGGTTTAGGGTTTAGGGTTTAGGGTTGCATCTCGTTGTTATCTCGAAGGGCTTGATGCAGGTTGGATGGGTGTTATGAAGGGGTTTAGAGGGGGTTATGGGGTTAGGAGCCCCAAAGTAGGCAGAAGTTTTTCAGATAGCACTCCTCATGATAGCTTTGTTGGGACCTTTCTCTCAAAGCTGCAGGGTCTGGACTTTTCGGTTTGTCATTTCTGATTTACGGGGTGAGGTTTAGAGACTTGGGGCTCCTGTTGGTTTCGCTTTGAGCGGCTCAACTGAGCAGCTCTTGAAACACTAACTTGCTGGTGAAATCTGTTGCTAGGTGTTGCTCGGATATTCCCCTGAAAGCCTCAAAGGTCAAAGGATTCGGGCTAGAATCCAAAGTCCAAAGTCCCACCAGAATAGCCACAGATTCCAGCCCACGCGTTGCAGGACTTCTGGGAGAAGTACGAGAAGCCAGGCGCGTTCTGGTTTCGAATATCTTCGGAGCCAAGGGTTTATCGGATGAATCTCTCGCGTTTTTATCATTCTAACCTGTGTAAACCCCTGAACCCTACACCTTCAAGCCCTAAGCCCTAAACCTTAAGGGCCTTCCAGCCCTAACCTAAACAGCTCGGTTTGATTTTCCCGGATGCCCAGTAGTACCCTTATTCCCTTTTTGTAGTCCTAGGTTCCTTATAAAGTTACCCAATACCAAAAAGAGAGGCCTTTTTATTCTTAGGTTACTGGGTATCCTAGTTTTTTAAAACTGAAGAGGTCGCCCTTGCCTCATCTCCGGCATCCCCGAGTTTCAGCAATGGCCGGCTTGCCAGTCGCTGGCCGAGGTTTAGGGGTTCAGGGTTTGGGGGGTTTAGGGGGTTAAGGGGGGTTGGGGTTTAGGTTTTAGCGGATAGGGGTTCAGGGTTTGGGGGTATTTAGGGGCCGCATGGTTTGAACAGGGCCGGGCTTCTTTGAAGGTTTTACCGTGGTATTGGGGTTTGGCTGTTGCAAGCCCCCAGCTTCCAAAAATAAGGTAGGGTTCTGGGGTATGATATAGTATTTGCAGTATGAGCCATTCAGATCTCTATATCACCTTCCCAAGAGCCCAGTATTCCCAGCCTAGCGACAAACGACTGGCTACTGTGGACTGTCGGTTTATGGTTCAGGGCTAAGGTTTAGGATTTAAGGCTTAAGGAGTAGTCTTTTTGCATCTGGCTCTCCGGGATGGGGTTCCGGGCTACTTGGAAGCAGAACGTGACACAAAGACACTACCCGGCCTCCCTGGCTGGGTCCGATGTTTCGGGCACATGTAAGACCCTATAGTACCCTATGGATCCCTTTAAAGGAAACCCTAAACCCTTGAACCCCAAACTCTAAACCCTGTAAGACCCTATAGTAGGCCCAAAGCCCCGCAACATGGTAGGCTCCAGCCCCAAAGTCTCACTGCACAAGCCGTACATGACAAGTTTGGGGAGCCGCAGGTAAGATTTGGGAATTAGGGCTGCAGGGCTGGCAGGGCAATGGAGAGCTCATCTTCACACGAAGATAAATGACAACCTTTAGACCTGACTAGGATTCGGCGATGTTTTTAGGGTTCAGGATGACTGAGTATGCATTATGGGGACAGCTTCTATATATCTCTGTCTTTTCCCAAGTTAGCGGTATGGGTTTCTGTAAACTCTAGACTTGGACGCCGCGGGGACTCTTCCCTTTCTCAAGCTCGGCCTGCAGATCCAACATCCCATGTCTGACGTCATGCCAACCGATTAGGTTAGGAGGCCATGGACTCTGTAACGCGTAAGGCGAAGTAAGAATATGCAGTACATACTGGGCTTATGTGGTGTCTTGCTCCTCTTCGCGGACTGAGGAAGTGGACTTTTGACGGCTTCTTCAAGAAGCAGGGAGCCCAGTGTGGGGTGACATACCCAGGCTCTTCAAGATAATCCTTTCTCTTCGTCGAACTGCAGAAAACGGCGGGAGACCTACACTTATATCTTGTGATTTGCTGCAGATATATACATATGTAAACAACGCAAGCCCTAGCCGGTGTAGTTCTAAATCCCCAAACAGTCATCCAATCTCCGGCAGATGAGATCCAAACATGCCCGCTCTCCCGCTATACATCTTTCTTCGTATCAGACATGCGGCCCGCGCTCTCAATGACCTCCTTATAAGCGCTAGTTACGACTGGGTAAAGCCTTCTGGCAGCCTGGCACCTGTATCTTGAGCACCGATCTACAAAGCCGCACACCCTGACAAGACCGGAGTCAACAGCATCCTTAATCCTAAACCCTAAGCCCTTAAGCCGTAAATCCACGCGTGTACCCGGTGAGGTTCCGCCATTCACACTTCAAAGTCGGCAAAGATGATGATGGCTCCACCATCAGGCAGACATATTGGGGTTTCGGGTTTAGGGGTTTCGAGCTTAGGGTTTGGAGTTTAGGGTTCAGGGCCTGGTGCCTCCACCTTCAGATCATCATGCAGATAAATGGATGGGGAGGGTCGTGCCGGTAGGTTTTTGGGGCTTATTAGCTGTTACCCTAAGGGTCCGAAGGACCCAATAATCGGGTACTTGGTTTTAGGATAGAACTGGGTTTAGGGTTTAGGGTTTAGGGGTTTAGGGTTTAGGGTTTATGTAGGCCAGGATTTTGGAGAGTATATGATTATTAGGTACTTGGACCCTTGGGGTTAGGTTTGAGAGTGTTTCTGGAGCTCCGTAGGGGCATTGGAGACTTGTGGCTTCAGCTCTGTTCTCGCTTCCCTTCTCGGTGTATGTTCAGTTTATGGGTGGTCGGCAATATTAGGGTCCCTATTTGGGTCCTTAGTATAAGATGGCACCTAATATTTAGGGTACCAAAAAAGGGACCCTAATTTTGACACCCACCCATATCCTGGTGCAACTGTAACTGTTAGGAGCCCTGAGGAGTAATCTTTGTAATCATGCAGGCCCTAAACCCTAAACCAGGCCCAAAGGTTTAGGGTTTAGGGTCTATATAGGGTTCTATAAGGGTTCTATAGGGTTTAGGGTAAAAGGGTCCATGGTGCTACTATAGTAGATATAGTATCACAATTCATCAGGCAGAGCCGTTGGCGAAGACAGGGGCGACTGAAGCCCTGAACTCACCGGAAAGCGACTTCCCTGAACCCCTAAACCCCTCAACCCTACCCTCAACCTAGAATCAGAAGAGGTTGCAGTTTACCATTTGAGTTAACCTCTCAGGCTGCTAGGGTTACTTCCGTCAGAAAGGAAATGATCATGGCTTGTTGCCGAAGGTTTGTTTTACGCGGTGTTCGCCCTGGCGCATACAAGGACATGCGTTCTCGGGGCTCAAAACAAGATGGTGTCACGTCTCCTTACACCTCAACCGAAACGGTCCAAGTACTCGCTGCTCGATCGTAGGACGTGTGGCAGGTTCAAGCTTTTTGGTTCATTCCTAGACGCTGCTTGGACTTGCACGATCAACCAAAACACAAAAACCGTGTTTACCATGATCGTCATGGCCTGCTGCTACTAGTCATTAAGTTAAGTTGCAGCATGACATGCATGCCGCAATCTTCTCGTCTCGGCACCGACACCGACTCAGCACATCCACTCCGTCAGCAAGATTTTCTTTCGGAGGTACACGTTGGGGTGATATGAAAGTGTTCGGGTTTTTAGGAGCATTGCGGACCTTTGATACACAATAAAGGGTCTAAATATTGGGATTATACGCCTACTTAAGGAGAGAACGGGCTTGACTCTTCGTGGGTTTCCATCAGATGTTGTCGTTCATTTCAGATCCTGTGAGAGGCTTCGCGCAGATTTCTTCGAAGAGTACATGAAGACGCCTCTCGACGAACCTATGCAGCTCTAAGCCTCAAGGAAGAATGCCCTAAACCCGAAAAACCTCAGTAGCTGAATGGATGCACTTTACACTTTTTGGGATAGTATCACCCACTAAAAAAGAGAAAGTGTACACTTTTGGGAGGCTTATGAACTCAGCAACTAGGAAACCAAGGCAGGTGGGCGCAGTGCGTTTGCTCAAAGCTGTATCTTTTAGAAGGGGCCCCCACCCTGTAATAGTGGTATAATAGGAATATATTAGGGCCTTGATATAATCCTTATAGTCACAATTACAGGGTGGGGGCAGCTTCTAATGTATCTTTATCTTGAGGCGTCAGGGTTGAACCGTCACGGGGTGTTTAGGGGTAACAGTGCCGGCTTGAAGGGCTTCTGGATGAAGCAAGCAAGGAGCAGACTGAAGTAGTATCCAGAACTTATCATTGCGCGCAACATCTTAGGGTTTAGGGGCTTATAGCTTGGGGAAACTTCTTATGAATGTCTGACAGTCTCCAACCAACAACTGCTTCTCGGTATCTCGTACATTTCCGCGGCAGCGGACCAACGCTGTCAACAAGTGAGAGGGAGGCTTGAGCCCATGGGCTTTCTGAAATCCTGACGACCGTGCTGTTGAGTGTTTGTGCGGTGCAGGTTCAAGGCTGCATGATTATTACACTGGGGGGGGGGGGGGCGAAGCTCTAGTTCAGAAGCCGAAATAATTGCTGATATCATTCCTCAGGGCTTAAGGGTTTCTAATTGTGGCAATACTGTGATATAAGGCAGCCTTTATCCTGCTTGTCTTGAGGCTCTGGTTCAGGGTTTAGGTCTAGGGCCTTCTGGAATCGAATAGCTGGCGATTTCTGAGCCAAGGAAGTCAGCAACCAAGCTAGAACCCTCAGCCCGTAGCTTTGGTGTCCATCCGTGTCCATCCCGTGAAGCTCATAGGAGGCCAAAAGGCGTTTTAGCCTATGGGGGTTTAGTAGGGATTACGGTTAAGGAATAATCCCTACCCCAAGAATCTTGAACCCCTCCTTTGGCCTCCCATCAGAAGCCCATGGCTTCGTGTTCACGAAATCTTCTCGGAGGGCTCAATGGGCCGCCCCTGGCTGGGCCAACCAGGGAAGGATCTTCAATCCTAAACCTCAAACCCATCCTGAACCCGGAACTAATGTATGTTTTTTACGTCGATGTAAGAAACCCTGAACCGTTGCTTTTTACGATTTGGGGCTTCGCGACTCTGAAGGTTTGTGGGGAGTGGGACTTTGGGCTTTGGGGCTCTTTTTGCTCAGCGTTCGCGGTTGGGCTTCGAGGCTCAAACCTATAAGCGCTCAGGGGGTCGGGGATGATCGCTTCAGGACGAAGGGTGTGTGTTTTTCAGGTCTTCGGGATTCGCGGTTTCGGGGGTCATGTGAGTAGGGATTACGGGCTTAGGGTGCGGAGTACAGGGTTCAAGGAGTCAGGTTTCAGGAGTAGTGGGTCATGATAAACCGCAAACTGTAAACCCCAAAGCCTTGAGCCTTGAAGCCGTGACTCAGAGTTGGTCGGTGAGGCAAAAGGACGACAGTCCTGTCTACCTCTTTGACAACCACTTCAAGCATGAGAAGAAGGACTCTTGGCGCTTTGAGAAGCTGCAACCCCTTACATAAATCGCAAAGCCGTAAAACCCTGAGCTTGATGTCCGAACCTTAAGCGCGGTAAATTCTGAGCCCTGCACCCGAAACCGAAAACCTGCCAAGGGCTGAGGTGCTTGTGTGAGGTCTAGAAGGCTCTACTTGTAGGTCTCCGAGGCCGTAGTGGCGTCATAGTGAGAGTGATATAGTAGTTTCGCAGCTGTTGCGCTAAAGGATGCACTAGGCAGATCACTGAAACAACAGGCTGGACCGTTCAATATGGGGTTTCAGAGCATTAGCAATGTTTTTTTTGTGAATACTTCTGGATAGTTTAGTGAGGGCCTCTCGTTTGGGCCCGCTCATTTTTTGAAGCTTCCAATATATTGTGAACCTGAATGAGAACTGCATTGCAGAAAACGAATAACAAGCATCCAGGGAAGTTGAACCCGAGCGACCAGAGTTTGCTGTTGCCAAAGGCCCGTACTATGAGCCTCCCATAGCTGCCATAGCTGCTCTAGCTCATGACATGGCGTACACTTTTCAATCAGGCTGCATCATGCGACACACATGTGTAGCGACACAGCACCACAACAACCACCAGAACAACCAGAACAACCACAACCATAACAACAGCAGAAACAGCGGCAGCAGCAGCAGCAGCATCAAGGACTGTATACACAGACTTCTTCACACACACACACACATACATACACACACACATGTGCATGCTTACGTGTCGTGTCTGGCTATTTCGCATTGCATCAAACGGCAGGGTTCTGTGCTGGGACTGAGGAGCTGCTGAGTGATTACCGCATTCCGCCCCGTCCTCGGCGAATTTGCTAAGGGCCTAACTACCTGTATTTAATGAATATGGGTGTGTCTATGGTAGCAACCACCGTCCTTTGAATAGGGCCCGCCCCAAATTTGCTAAGTAGTTTGCAGAGGAAGTTTATGAAATCACATGCAGTTTGGTCTGGAAGGTATGAAACAGAGTATGCAGGAACGTGTGTGTTTGGGTTTTAGCAACGTGAAGCAAAGTATGGCGTGGGTCTCCGGATGTAAGAGACAGTGTGGTTTGGTTTAGCAAGTAATATAAAAAAATACTAAATATGGTATAAGGAGATGATGGTCGAGGGTCTTGGACTGCGGAAGGGTGCCGTGGACAAGAGGTTAGACACGTGGGCACGAACCTCTTTGTGGCCAGCAAAAGACTTCGCCGGCAAAGGGCCGCCTAGCCTAACGCGAGGCGGGAATGCTGTGGGGCTGTGTCGTGACATGCGAAGGCTGCCCATGCAAGTCTCACCTTTGTTCTCATTTTTGTTCAATGTTCTCCTACTTTTATGCCACATTTTTTCACATTTAACTTGCATGATTTTCTCGCAGCTTTCTGATATGTTTATCTTTGTTGTTTTCGTTTGTCTCATTGTCCATATTGTTCCTAGTGCTCTCCCAAAGCAGATCCGGTCCATGTCCACTCTTCGGGCTGGAAATCTGAAGGCGGGGCGCGGCAGAGAGCCGGCCTGCTTGGAAATGTGAAAAACTCAGCGGAAATATGGCTCGGGCAGGACCGTGCGCGCGCACAAATTCGAATCCAGCTAGAGGAAGATGCGTTCTTTCCATTTCTATGCGCCCAGGAGTTCCTGCGGAGTTGATCTCGTCCTGCCCCCTGTCCCTTCTGCCCTGGGGCAGCTCATATCCTTCTAGTAAATCCAGAACTTGCCCTACACATGTCCTCTTTGACAGTTACTGAGTCCACCGACTGTGTTCGCGTTCTCTTCTGCACATCCCAGAGACTCTTTCATAGTGTGCAACCTCTATGTACGTGCATGGATATACGCGGGTTCACATCGCATTTCATTTCATTTTCTGTCACATTTGTTTTACATTCTCATTCACATACATTTCTCCGAACCATGTTTTTTTTTCATATTTTCATTCCTGTGCCATTTTTCAGATACTTTCGCCCACACATTCTCCAGAGATTAAATATCTGGGCAAGCCTTTTTTAAGCAAGGCTGTGGGGATTAGCAATCGATCTAGATGTAAATAAATAAACAAATGAGCATATATATATATATACATGTATATATACATGTATATATGTGTTCATTTGTGGTCACCCCTCCCAGTTATCTACCTTCCAGGTGGGTGTTAGACACCATCAGGAAGGCTGGTTGTCTAGACCACTTCAGGGTTTACGGGCAGTGTTGCTGTTGTCGTGCTTGTTGTTTGCACTGTTGTCGTCACAGACTGATGAAAAAAATGTATGTGCGTATGCGTCTACTGGAACCTAACCTTTTGTATGTGTGTAGTACTAAACCAACACAACGAGGCACATAAACGGCACATGGGTTTAGGGTTTAGAGCAATGAGAGCAGTCCCGAGGCATCCCGAGTTTTGAACTTCAACCCGAGGATTGAACTTCAAATTTCCCGGATCCAGGATTCAAGATTCCAGGACGAAATTCACCAGAATCTTGAATCTTGGAACCGAGAGTTTCGCGGTCCAATCCTCGGGATTGAACTCCAAAACTTCAGACAGCGCCGTTGTATCCTCGTCGTCATGGCCGGCGTCGTCTCCGGAATCGTATCATTCGATGACGGCCACGACACCCCCTCCCCCTCCCGCTACACCAATAGCGGCGAGGGTTCCCTGGCCGGCTTCTAACGCCTGCTGCGATGACAAGATCTATGAGGCCATCAAGGATGGGAAGGCCACAGTCCCCTCCAATCACCAGGTTATGGCGAAAAACACGATGTATATCAGTATATCGCCATGAACAACATCCGACGCTCGCTCCACTTGACCCCTGAAAAAGCTGACTTGAAGTTTCTTCGCCTTCTGGGAAGACCTATGCCAACGGGAACCACACCAAGGCCATCGAGGACGTTGAGAACCTTGATGGCTCACAGTCGGAGGATGATGAGGAAACCAGGACGACATATTGGCCATAAGGGAACACGAACTCGGCGGATCCGGACCCCACAGGTCTTCCCTCCATGCCTAACGGTTCCACCGACGGGCACCTGCCCGAGCACATCGACCGCAACATCGCGGACGCAATGACGGGGCACTGGACCAACGAGTGCCCCGGGGAGTTCGCGAGGTCACAAGGCCATGAATGAGATGTTGCTCGGCTTCGTGGAGGGAAAGGGCTTGATGGCGGAGTGGAAGGACTACTCGGAGAAGACGGTCATGAGTGTGTTCACTTCTGCTTATGGTTCCGGAGATGCTCGTAAGAAGTCGGGATTATCTCAACTGACCGTTTCAACCCCGGGAGATGAGGCCATGGATATCGATGCCCCCACCTCGGGGTCCTCCAGCTCCAGCTGCTCTTCCACTCGCAAGAGCACTTCGTGGAGCCGGGTGCTGAGCACACAGGTGATGGGCGGCTTGGTGTTTGTTGAAGGAGCGGCTACAGATAAACCACAGCACCATGACCGGATCCCACCAATTGGCCGCGAAGATCAGAGCAGCCAAAATGAGTGTTGGCAGCGGGGTGGGGACATGTGGGCCAGCACTGTGGCACCCTTCTCACCTGGTAGAGGGACAGCATGACGCAATGCACAAGAAGGCCTTGACCGCGAAGCGGGCGTGAAGCGGGTTCAGCAAGGTTTTATCGAGTTTGGGGTTTGCAGGTTTTCTCGGGGCATTATTGACCGATTAATCTGCTTAAGGAGTTTCGGGGAGTGGACTTCGGGCAGGGTTTGTGGGTTTATGGGCTTGTGGTTTAGGATAGGGGCCCAAGTCGTCACACAGTGCAAAAAACTTTGAGTTGGTCATAATGGCATAAGCTTCAAGATAGATGTTCATGTGAATCCTAAGTCTGTGCGTTAAGGGCTTGGGTTTATGGTGTGCATTTCTCGTGCTTGCATGCAGTGCGATCTTTATGGCATAAACAATAAAACGAGCTTTATAAGCAAAAAGCCCAGCCCAAAACCCCATGCTTATAAATAGGTTTCTGGCTTTGGGGACAGGTCCAGTGAAGCATCGATCCGGATATGTCCGGCACACTTGTTCCATTTAGGATATGGGGTTTCGGGGATTGTGTTTTTTGTGTTTGGCGTTGGAAATGTTAGGCGTGTAAGATTTTAGGATGGAGACTTGGGGGCAAATGGAGTGGGATTCTTCTTTCTGTACGGTTTCGGTGAAGTTTTTCTACACGGCCCTCATTTACATCCTTAGCTGTTTGTTTGTTGTTCGGGTTGCTATAATTGAATCAGGATCTCCGTCCTAACCAAATAAGTTTTGCCAAGCGTCTAAGGGGAGTTAACAGCACGGCCCTTGAAGCCATTCAATGTTAAGCCGTATTCGCACGTAAGCATGGAGGCTTGAAGCTTTTTTGAGAGAGGTACATTGTAAAACCGCCAAGCAAAGCCGCCAAGCTTTGAACACCAAGCGCTGGAGCACTGATGTTCAGAATACTCGAAGAGACCAAGCCAAAGCTCTCAGAACAACCACATCGGCAATTTCAGAAAATAGGAGCGCCTTTGTGGGAAGATTCATTGGCACCGTGCCAACGCCTGCAGAACTCTCCAGACCACCAGCGCCATGAAAACCCTTTGCCCTGAATTGCCCAAATCTTAAACCCCATACCCTAATCATGACTTTACCAGCCTGGTACCGAGCCGATAAGCTCCCGCCCAGACGTGATTTCAGACCCAACATTTTTTTTAGGCATTTTTGAGGTTTCGGATGTAGTAACGTAGTGTTAAGAGATTCAGGTTTGATTCAAGGGTTGTTGGTTTAGGATTTATATGCGGCCTGAAACGGGTTCTTTCGAAGGTTTAAAACCTTTAGGGTTGATGGTCAACTGGTTGCGGTCTCCCAGGCATTATTTTCCAGATGACTTCATGGCCCTTGCCAACGACGACCGACCCCCGTGGCTGGGCCCAGCATTGATTGGAGGGCGAATTGGTTCCACGGTTTGGGGCTTCAGGGCTCATTTTTGTGGGTCCTTCTTCTGCGGTTAATCACTTCAGGGCTTGAGACGGTTCTTTCCAGTTTCGCTTTCCGGTGTTCGAGTTAGCATTGCCGGCTATGCGCACCCGCATCCTTTCACCTTCCAGGCATCACGATAACGCAAACAGATTTAGAAGTTGCTGTTTCTACACTTACCGGAATTAACCTACTTTGTACTGACTCCGGTGATCATGTAGCTATATAGGCGTCAAGCTACTACCATGCGCTCTTTGCGGGGTCCCTGTGCTGGTGTAGAATCCAAGGTGGCCTTGGTGATTCGGATTTCACTTCAGATTTGTGGTTCGGTTTGCAGGGCTCTATAGGGTTGAGCTTTCAGTGTGTATATACCCTTCGCGGGGATTGACGGTCATCCAGGTACCGCTGGATTGGCATCGGCCCCAAGCGAAGTGGCACGGTGATGCACCAGGACTGGGTTTTCGTCTTGTCCCGACACACGCTATCAAGGTGTACGGGCATCGAGTTTAGATTGATCCTGGAACCGCTGAAATCCGCCCTACTTTGAGTTCGGCATTTCCTGGATGTTGGCAGATGTGGCCTTTGCAGAACTGTAATTATGATGTTAGCATATCGTCTTGTTCCTGCATCCGCACCCTGCCCGGGCAACTTTCGTCCTGTGCATTCTCGTCCTACACTGTTTGGCTGTGTGCATGTTACCTGCGCACGCAAGATCGTGTTCCGAAGGTCCCGGGCCTTGCGAACGATGGAACGGCATGCCCTTATATGGGAGTTTCCGAAAATAGGGGTACCAACCATATTTTGTAGTCCCTATAATAAGGATCCTACCATTTAGGGTACCATATTAGGGTCCCCTATTTTCGGAAACTCCCATATCCCTTATGGACCCCAGGTCATCATGGCCAAGCTCCCTTTGCTTGGAACCTGCCCCTATGCAGGATCCGCTGTGCACTTCAGCTTGGAACACCCTCATCCGCGGTCGTGGCTGGACTTGCGAATTCAGACTGTCGATCATGGTTTGCCTACAAGTGCTTCTGTGGGCCAGGATACACCTAGTTAGAACGTCATGAATACTGTTGTTTGCTATATGATAGCGTCAGGGCCCTACCGTGTCAGTTCGATCTATATGACTTACCCAAGGAGGCAGTACTCCATAACCAAGGGAGATGCCCGAAATCAGAATCAGAAGCCAGCTATCAGCAAGGTCGATTCCGAAACTGAGTCTTCAAGTCCAGTTTCTTGGGTTTCGGGGGAAACATGACATAAGCAGCTGGGCTTCTATACAGGTCTTCGGGTCATGCGAGTTCTGTTTCTGGGTCTCTGGGATGCCGTGCTTGCAGGCCTGTTTTTGCAGTTGCTTCGGGAAACTAGGATGCCCAGTAGTACCCTTATTCCCTTTTTGTAGTCCTAGGTTCCTTTTTAAAGTTACCCAAAACCAAAAAGAGAGGCCTTTTTGTTCTTAGGTTACTGGGTATCCTAGCTGCTACACAGCGGAGATCATCGGAGCTAGAGTCGGTTTTCGGGAACCTGAAACCATATCCCAAACCCTGCCTGTGGCCCAAAAGCTTACCCCTACCTGTCTAAGGATTCATTTATAGAAACATGGTGGGGCACTCTAAGTTAGGTTCTTTGGGCAATCTTCGGGCCACTGGTACGTAAGTGAAAATGCGCAAGTCTTCAACCACAGCCTCAACGCGAAGATGATGTCGACACCCTTCCCACAGTCCTGCTTGAAACCTTCAGGCCTCCAGCCGTATGTCCCAAGTCTAAGAGAGCTCCGATACGGCAACACAAGCGAGACAAAACTCCGTGCCCTCCCCGCATCTTGTAGCAGAACATCTAATGCAATGTGTCAAGCATTCTTAAGGAGCTGTCAAGCAGACCGAACTCATTGTTTAAGACTCGTAACTTAATGAAGGGTGTCACGGTTTCAGGAGCACTCCGACCGGAAGACATTCTGTTGAGAAAGAGATTCTTAATCATAGGCCAAAGCCTACTCTCTCGGGGCATCTGCAGAGGAAAGTTATGGCTCCTTCTTCCGCCATCCACTCCGAAGAGAGTATCTCGGTGTATGAACGAGTTGGATACCCGGATACCCGTTATCAAGAGTTTTCAAGCTTTTCAGGGTTCTTGTCCGGGCTCATAAGGTGTTTAGGATAGCGTTTCGGTGGATGTTCCATTTTCGAGTCTAATGTAGAGGTCTCCGGTTCATGGATCCCTGTTGTCGGGCTTAAAGGCAGGCTGATATCTAAGCATACATCATCATCAGCATCACCAACATCCTTCATCAAGAGTCTGGCCTGCTGCATCAACAAGATTCTCATGGTCGTTGGGTCATCATCGTCTTCATTATCACCAATATCAGCATCATAGTTGTCCTTATCACCACGCTCAGCTTCAAGTATAATCACGGTTGTCATTAAAGTCGCCGGTGCGGCAATGGGAAAACGTTATCGTGCCAGGACCCTTGTATCACTGGCACATGTTATGTCAGCCGGATTCAGCGTTCGGGTGTTTCAGCCGATGGGAGACCTGTTTGCAGGCCCTCAGGGGTCTCGATTTCTCAGGGTGTAGCTGTCGGGCGACTTATACATATACGGTTCGGGATTCGGGGTTGATGAAGGATTTCGGTGTACTAGTGTTGATTCGGTATTTGGTACAGCCTTCGGGGTTCAGGGTTCGGGATTATTGTAGGGTCTAGGGCTCGGGGACCGAACTCACCACCATCATGGGCATGTCCATCACGATTCTCCCACATGGGACTTTAATCTTCTCTTTAAACAAGGGGGGGGCTCACTGTCAGCTTATGTCTCAGAACCCCAACCTCAAACCGAAAACCGGACACAGAAGAGGCTCCCCCGAAAGCATCAAGAAAGCTAGCAAGTAGCTGAGCTTATTCTACCTATACCTGTACCTACAACCTACTTACCCCCTCCCTGATCCTTCGAGGATTAAGCACAGCCCAGGTCGCAAAATCCAAAGATGTCATGCTTCCGGATGATGACGATGAAGCTTGCCGCTCGCCCATGCCCATGCTGTTGAGGTTTTGGGACATACCTACTAGTACTTTCAAGTCCCCTACAGGGGGTAGGGATTGCTGCGTACAGGTTTGTCAAGAAGCTTCGGATCTCGCTCAGGGTGTACTCCGCGATGGACCTCCTGTGAGCCCTAATCCCTAATCCCTAATCCTGAAAGCCTAAACCCCACGTAAGACGCGATGTCATTCGATCAAGGACTAGACCGATTTGCCCCGTGACGGAGCCCTAGCTTGAAAACCCCAAACCCGAAAGCCTGAAAAGCTCACCCTAAGCGCGGGGGCCCAGCCAGGGTTTAGGGTTTTGCTTGCCCAAGACAAGCCTGAACCCTTTTGTCGAAATGTGAAGAACTGCACTTATTTGTCGTTGGGGTTCCTCGTTGTGTTTAATTATGCGATAATGGAACCCGAAGCCGTGTTCTAGTTATTGAGGCCTCCATATACTGACAATGCCGTGAGCAAGTGATGAAACTCGAGTGTGCGGCTTTGTGTTTAGGGTTGGAAAAGCGTTAAGTGTTTGCGGAGGCAAGAACCCAGCCTCCAACACAACCGTTTTGTTAGTTTCGTTCTCCTTACTTTACGGGTCTTTCGGTCTCTCTATCTCTCTCTCTCTCTCTCTCTCTCTCTCTCTCTCTCTCTCTCTCTCTCTATCTTTAAACATAGACATGTGTGTATATGTAGGTATACATACACACATACCCACATGGTACACATACGCACACATCAAACAGACCAGGTTGAGCTTTGATTTCCGGGCGCGGTTGTTGGGAGAGGGGCAGAGAGTTGTTGTGATGCTTGTGGTTCTGACAGTGCCTGCTATTCTGCTGCTCTCTGGGTGTCAACACCCGGAGTTTTCTCCTGCACCACAGCCTGCACTAAACTTTGCGCAAACCCTGGTAGAAAGAGAAGGCTCGACTTTGTTTGTAACAGCACCTCCATGACCATCATACACTCCAGCTCTATTAGCATTCCTCAGAACCCTAAACCCTCAACCCGACAGAGGTGTAGGTCTTTGGGTTTCAGTATCTCCCGAAACCCTAAACGGGTTGGGGTTTCGGTTTCCCATCTGAGGCAATCACTTTTTGGATCTTCTACCGCGCAAACGCGCCAGGCGCGTCCTAGCCATGGCCAGTCCCTCATGTAAGCGCCTTTCTTTTGAGAAGCAGAAGGTGCTCCTCGTAGTGTTCGTCGGGTACAACAAAAGTTTCGCCAAACTGCGAGCGCTGCAGACACCTCACCCTTCCTTGGGACCTGGAGAGACCCAAGTTCCTGCGCCGAACGAACCGGAACCGGCATAGGAGTCTTAGGTGAGCTGTTGTTGGTGTTGTTGTTGTTGTTGTTGTTGCTGCTTCTGCTGTTGTTGTTGTTCTTGTTATTATTATTGTTCTTGTTCTTGGTCTTGTTATTGTTATTGTTATTCTTGTTCTTGGTATTGTTATTGTTCTTCTTGTTGTTGTTGTCCTTGTTGTAGGGTACCTTGCCTATCAGACGTCTGAAGCGCGGCCTCTGCTCTGAACTGAAGCTCTGTACCCAACACCGCCACAGGCAAGATCCGGACTTTCATCCCCTGCTGTGTGGCTGCTCTGAATTAGGCCCTGTTTGGCATCCCGGGGTCCTGGTTATGTGACGTTTGAATGCTGGGGATCCAGGAGTGGCCCTGACTGAGAGAAGTACCCTTGTAGTGGTGACCCTGCAGAGAAACCGAACCCAACTCCTGTGACCGACCGCCGTCAGGGTGACGACGAGGTCGGTACTGATGATGAAGATGCTGATGAGATGACGACCACGATGCCGCCGTCGACCACCATCGACCACCACGACGACGATGCCCGCGACAAAGTCGACGACCATTATGGCCATCGTGGTTGTTGCGGTTTCTCTTGTCCTCATGTTGCCGTCGACTCAGAAACTTAACCCTCAACCCCCTCCCTACCGCGCAGCAGTGTTAATTTGGCTTCGTATAGGTTTCTCTAGAACACCTCACAGCGTTAAACAGCAGGCCTAGTGGCCTAGCATTCCCCTATAGTCCCTGCTCTAGGGCTACTCTGGTCATAGTAGGATGGACACCACAGCCCACTTGAAATAATTTAGGCTTCAGGTCCCAGTATGACATGTGGCGACTGCTTCGTTTTTGGCCAAGGTGTGCAGTATCCCGGGGTCCGGCCCTCAGTTCGTGTGTTTTTTTGTTAGCGGTGTTCGCAGATGTAGGATGGGAGGCTGACTTTAGGGTTTATGGTTTGGAGTTTGGGTTGGGGATTCAGGAAGCTGCTCGCAAGTTTTTGCCATCAAGCATCTTGGCTCAGGGATTCTGGCGTCAACCCCCCCCGAATCCTAAACTCTCAAGCTAAGGAAGAGTATGACATCTCAATCCCTCCACCAACACGGACACGACCTGCAAATCAAGAAAAGAAGCCCCACAGCCTTTCGGAGAAAGGGTGCAGTTCAACTTAAAAAAACCCAACCGCAACCCGAGCCCCTGAAGCTGTGAATCCTCTTCCAACCCCTAATCCCTGAATCCGCAACTGTATACCGCAAGCTCACCTGCAACGTTAGTTTTCTCTGAAAAAGAACACGCTAAGCTTGACCCTTAGCCTTAGACACCATATAAAGCCTCAACACTATAAGACCCGCAAGATTGCTAACATCTGCCTGAGGAGACGATATTTGTTCCTGGAAACTGGTGGCATTGTGTCCTCAACCTCGATGACACCATTGCGGTGATCCTTGGCCTGATTGGTTTAGGGGACACGTGATGTGGTTGAGGGTTTACGGTTCAAGGGCTGAGGGTTCAGAAGGTTTATGAGTTTCGGAGTTGGGCTGCGATGGAATCCTCGCCGTTCCGAAGCGCTCAAAACACAAGCCTGAGTTATGTAGGTCAGCGCTGCTGATCAATCGGGCCTTTCAATGCCCGATATGACCAGTGGAATTCCGAAGGCTCTCTCCAACCAGTCATATTGGCCGTAGCAGGTGTAGTCGTTGTACCGTGGTCACGACAGCAGGGATGTCTTGAAGATCGGTAGTCGTTAGGAACTGCGGTTCGCCGGCTCGATACCCCGTGACGATTGCAGGGTTCCTTCCGGAAGGTACAGCTCCAGCCACAACCGTAGGGGACCCCCTCTTCCATGAATTAAGCCCAATCGTATTGCACCCCGAACCCTAAACCCAAAGCCTTAAGCCCTAAACCCCTAAACCCTCAACGCAACCCTATAAGCCCTGAAAACCGCCCTAGGCCCTCAGCCCTTCAAGCCCAAGGACGCAGAACTACGTGGGCCGCCATAACTTTGCCAGTGTTTGGCGGAGCTGCCGCGAAGAGAGGCATCGAAGAGTTTCGGTGTCAGGACGGTTTAGGGATTAGGGTCTTAGGGTTTAGGGTTTGCGGTTTAGGGTTCAGGGTTAGGGTCTTAGGGACCCAAAAAACACATACAGTAAACTCCCTTGGTGTCAGGGGTTAGCGACCTTCATTGCCCACACGAGCTCTTTGCCCTGGTAGTTCTTGCAGATAGCCCTTCCGCCATTCGGTAACCACGTGCCCTCAAACCTCCCACCTCATCCCTTAACTTGAAACCTAAACTTCACGTTCTGAACTCAACAAGTTTTTCAGGCTCTCACATTCGCAACCTTGGCGCTTTCAGCCACGGACCAAAAGTTGACATGTCGACAAAAAACTAGGGCGTAAGTTAAGTTCATGCTTTAGTGCTTGTTTGGTTCAGGGAAACCGTCGGCCCGAAACCAGGACTCCTTCTTAGATCTTTCAGCTTAAGATCGAGCATTTCCTAGGAGCTTCACGAACTGGTATGATGCCATCTCAGCAGCAGCCTCTTCAGTGAGCTGCTAAAACCCTCCATCTACCTAAACTACTTCCTTGCGGCCTCGGGTTTCTGCAAGCGGAATCTACCCTAAGGCCCTAAAGTAGTTCCTTTTGGGGGTTCATAGATAGAATCCCATTAGGTAATCCCAAAAAGGAACTACTTTGGGGCCTCTGGGTATGTAATACCTTCGAAGTGTTTTTGGACCTTGACACGCCCGTCTTCCAGAGAGGCCATGCTGGAGCTACCGATGGCTTCGCAACATGGAGGCCGAGTCAATCGAACTGATCTGAGCTTTCTAGAGCTGTGGGGTTCTCCAGGACCCCCCCAATGGCCCTTTAATGGAGCCCCAATGGCCCGTAATAGTAGGTATTGAGGGTATCTTAGAGGGTGGTTGGGGGGTCTAGGCTGGGTGTAGGGGTTTGGGGGTTTAGGGTTTCGCTGCAGATGCGCACACATGGCAGTACAGCACCCCTAAAGCTTGCATGCAACTGCCGTAATCCCTAGCTGCCCTAGCTGTAGTCTCAAATCCTACAGGGCTGCAGGTTGTAACCCCTTAGCCGTAGGGTCAAGCCTTCAAACTTTCGGAACGGTAGCGGATTGGAGACACAGGTAATCCAATCTCCCTTACTAGCAAAGTGCAAGCCCATTGCAAGGCCTTGGCGCCAGAGCTTGCTGCGGAGGCGCGACGCCTCAATCTCCAGGCCAGAACTTTGCCAAAAGGTCTTAAGTACCTAGATGAAGTATAGTTTCTGTTTGGGTTTTAGTGGGAGTCTACGTGGCTCTGTATAGGGTTTTGGTGAGAGTACATGCTTGTCTTTACTTGGAACGTGGAGCCCTACATCATGAAGGTTAGACTTATTGCTTGCACTATGCCATATGCAGGTGCTTGAGATCGTACGGGGCTTCTTGACGTGGGGAGAGTGATTACAACCCTGGGCGAAGGGTTTACATCGCTAGTCCGGCTAGTCCCTAAACCTTCAGTTGTTAATCAACCGCAAACCGCCTACACCCAAAGTAAACGGATCGCAAAGGCCGCACCCGTCGTTAAACCCTTAACCAGAAGCCTCGCTGCAGCCAGAGGACGGGTTCGACATGGAAGCCCGTCGCCAGCTAAATCGTGACTTGGTTTAGGCTTAGGATTCAGGTATCAGCTTTCAGCGAGTTTGGGTATTTCGAGCTGTTTCGGGGTTTGTGGGTCAGGGTTTTGGCGTTTAGGTCGCTGGGCACTCTTGAAGGCTTTAGGATTTGGGGCTTGTTCGTCGGCGTTGCGACCAGGGTCAAGGGACGCAGGGCAGCTGTGCTGGCAACCTAGGAAGCCCTTCTAAAGCCTAAAGTTCCCAACTCTGGTTTCACGTGTTTCTGAGGACTGGATCCACGACCACATGGAGCCTTGAATCCCAAGGCGCTTAATCGCCAATCACCAAGTTTTTGAGGCACTAAGAACCGCGGACCCCGAAATCGGAAAAGCACAAGCCATCTCCGACAACCCTTCAAACAAGAGGGCTTCAACCCGTAAACCCTAAACCCTAAGCCCTAAGCTTTAAACTCTAGAAGTTAAGAGCCTGAGCCGCTGAACCGACAAAAGCTGAACCAGCCTGGAGCCCCTGATGAGGGTACTATAGGGACCTATAAATAATGCTTATAGGGTTCCTTTCAAGGGTTTCTTACAAAGGTGTACTATAAGGGTTCTATGATAGGGTTGTACTATAAGGGTTCTATGATAGGGTTCTGTAGTACAGGGACCTAACCTAAATCTATGCTATTTTGGAGGGCTCCTTCTTATGATTCAATTAAAATGGGCGCCAAGACCCTACTCTCTAATCATTATGGCCCCTATATTAGGTCGACGTTTGCTGGAGCAGAGGGAGAGACGAACGCAGCGGGCGCTAAAGGCTGCGAAGAGGAGGGCTTCCAAGCGCCTCGACGAGGTCTTTTGGTGTGTGTTGTCTCTTTTTATCTGCGGTCGTCGTGCCCGGCACGACTCAGTAGTTCGGCATCTAAACACTAGCCCCCCAAAGCCCTGGAGTTTGAATGTAACTTCCTCAAACCGAAGGTAAAGCCTTTTGCAGTGATTTAGGGATATTTAGGGCTTGGGGTTTCAAGCTAGGTTTCGGGGTTCACGGTTAAAATTATTGTGCTATGGGGCCTAGGTAAGCGGTAGCAGGATTACATGTGCTTGCTTGTTTCTGCTATTTTCGCTGAGGAAGGGGATCCTGTTTGACGATGAGGCCTGGCTCGTTCCTTTCAGTGGAGACTTCAAGACCCCTTATTATGAGAGCAAACCTGATTACCTACACATAGGACGTCTAATCCCACATTTCCATGCAAACATGATAAAGGAGCCTGATTCCGAAGTCAGCTTCCTGATGCATTGCCGATTCTATTTCGAAGCGGTTCTGCAGGAACTCTTCCATCCGCGAATACGGTCTTGCAGTCTTTCCTGCCATGGGGATCGGGGTGTGGGATGTGCGAGGTCTCTAGAAGATTACGTAGCGTTAGCGTCAGATAGTAATTAACAGTTTCCGTGTTAATACATCCATTTTGAGGACTAAGATGGGGCAATTGCCCAGGGCACTTGTTTTTCACACGACAGACTAAAAAGTCCCCTGGTCAGCGTGGAAATGACTTTGAATTCTGCACCGTATGCTAGAACCTCGTTGCCGGTGTGTTTCAATTCCAAGGTACAAGTTCACCTGACTATTTTCCCATGTTGACGTCAAGTCCACTTTCCGAAGCCTTCCCTACACTGAGGCCTCAAGTTAAAGCATTGTAGGAGCGTTCCTAAATCATGCGCGGTAATGGGCTTTCTGAGTTCGGGCCCTATCATCCCCCTGAAACCTTTGAATGCACTGAAGTCGAGGTTTGGCTAACGGAACGGCGAAATGGACAGGACCGCGGATGGGTGGTGGGGTTCTCGAGATGGGATTCAGAGTACAGAGTATACTTGCAACAGGATGCTTGCAACGATATACAGGCTTGGAGCTCTGGTTTTGACCCACTATAGTCGTTCCGTGACTTTTGTCCATTGCAGGAGCTGCCTAAAACCCTAAAGCCCGTTCTCACATCAAGGGCTCGAACTTTCATGAAAATAGGCATACGGACGAACGGACGACGGACGGACGGACAGCCAGACACACAAAATCCCGAACGCTGGAGACTTTTAAAATTGAACGCATGCTCACGAGGCGGAAGTATATATATATATATGTATGTATATATATATATATATATATATATAGGTAGGCTCCCTAAAACTCAGTTTCCCCAACCCTAAGGGCCTGAACCCCGTATCCCTACACCGAAGAGCCCCGGAATCAAATCCGGTGAAGCCCCATCATGTAGGAACCTGATGAAGAAGCCTTGGGCCTTTATTAGGGTTCCTTTTATGATTCCTTCTATTTTGGGGGTTATAGGCCCAGGGTTTCTTCATCAGGTTCCTACATTAGATACCATCAGCCGTTGCAAACAAAACAGTAAAGCCCCCTTTTGCCCCCGAAGAGGAGAAGCGATCTCCCGAAATCCGAATCCCTAAGCCGACCGAGTCGGAGAAAGCCAGCTAATTTTTATGAAGCGCCTCCACGAGGAGGACGTAAACTCCGACTCGACGGTGAGTAGCAGCAGCTCTGACTCGGATTCCAGCTGCTCGACAGCTTCAGCCGCACGTAGGTTTTGTCGAATTTCACAGGTGTTTGCAAGCGTCGCTCTTTTGACAGGGCTTTGTGTAGCTGCCCCATTAACGGGTTTGTACAGACGCGTTTATTGCTTTTTTCGAAGCGCTTTCTAGTGCTCCGTATACCACCTTCGATTGCAGGCACTCTCGGGTTTTAAGGCGTTTGCGTAGTGCCGATTGTGGTTCGGGTTTCTTGCAAAAGGTGAGTCGTGTGCAGTGTTCAATGAGGGGTCTATAGACAGGGGTCATAGGACTTAAGAAAGGTTTTATGGGTTCCACGCGTCAGGGTTGTCTTATCACAGTACTACTTGGGCCACAAGGGGTTCTGGCCAAGTGTCTTCGAATCATATAATATAGATGTGTCTACCATCCATCTATCCATCTGTCTATTAATTCATCTATGTACCTATGCATCTGTAGCAGACATTGAAAAACAAAGTATGTACATATATGTGTGTGTGTTACCTGTGTATATACATATATAAATACACATGTCGATCTGTTATCCAGGATAACTATAGGAATCCGTAACTTGGCGTACAGTTCTGTATGAATTCTATGTTCCCTCGAGGGTGGGGTTCAGTTATGACCGAGTGTCTAGAGTCTAGAAAGCTAGCAACACCCGCAACCGAACTTCCTTCTGCTCTTCCCCGATCCGCCAATTTTCGAACCTGCAAAACCCCCGCCTTCTGAGGACGTAATGAATAAAGTCACAGCAAGGAGCATTCTGGCACTCGTAGGACTGTTCGGGTTAGGTACACTTGAATTGCCAGTCTTCTTGGCGTGATCTTGCACTGCGGCAAGGATATTTTCGATCGAAACATCTTGGTCCCGAAGCTTGTCAGGGAAGCCGTACTGACCCTCAACTCTAGGCCTCCTAAGCCCTGGATGTTTTGACGTTTTCCTAGCCCTTAAAAACACTCAAGCCCCAAACCCCAAACCCCTATATTATCCTAAGAAGCAACCCTACACCCCCCTAGAATCCTAATTTACAAAAAACTTTGAATTCTTATCAGAGCCTCTAAAGCCCGAAGCCGTATAGACTCCTGATAAGAACTTTAGAATCCTTATCAAAACCTGTAGAAGCCTTCTAAACAACTTTCAAGTAAAATCCTGATCAGAACCCTGTTGCGTGGAGGTCCCTTAGCCTTAAACTCCAAACTCTAAACCCTAAACCCGATACCCTAAACCCGAAAATCTAAACCCTAAACTCTAAACCCTAAACCCGATAAACCTGTTTGAGTGGAGGCCACAGCTCTGAGTCTTCGGCTGCCCCGTGAGCGCCAAGCTTCTGCTTTCTGCTTCTTCTCTCGGTCTCCTCAGAGTTTGAGTTTTAGGGTTTGAAGGGTCCCTTTAAGCAGTCTATAGAGGCTCCTATAAGGATCCTATAATGTTTATAAACATTATAGGATCCTTATACTACAACTATGAAGGTTCCTTTAACGATCCTATGATGTTCAGGGCTTGTGAGTTCAGGGTTCAGGGTTTGAACACGCAAAGTCCTAGAGGTCAAATCCGAAGCTATACCCAAGCAGGTGGTTAGAGTTGAGGTGGCTTGGGCCGCTGATTTTAGGGCCTGTGTGTGGCTGTGCAGTGTTGGCCCCATACCTGAACCCCCAAAAGTACGTAGGTAAAATAATAGCCCAATACCTATAAAAGGCTATTGTTCTACATACTTTGGGGGGGTCCAGGTAATACCCATAATTGCAAGTCCAGTTAACACGGCCCACAAACCCGTACTATAGGGGCCTAAGTAAATTACCAGTACTATTTTGTGGGGTTCCTTAATCATATTTATGGCTTTGCTGGAAACCCCAAACCCTATGTTTATTATCAAGGCACGTGTAGTTAGCCCAAGAGACCTGAAGCTCTGATCTTTACTTTGTACTGGGTGTCTTCGGCGGTTCTAAGGGCCGTTGGGGGGCCCTTGCCACGGAGTTCTCGTGCCACACTCTGCCTGCGCATCCCACCGTAAAGCTTGGATGGGCATCATCTGCCGGTTTGTAGGCCTTTAAGCTTCAAGTTATTTTTCGACTTTGGTTCTACATGCTTACTTGTCTGGGAACCATGACTTCAGGCCGTTGAGGTTTGCGTATGCAGGATTTCGTCTTTAGGGTTTTGGTCGTCGAGGTCTGGGAGTTTCAATCAATCTCAAAGTCGTAAGCGCCACATAGCAGGATCCGCATGAATGAGAAGGAACCCTCAGAGGCGACCCGCAGCTCTTTCAAATTACAACGAAGCCGTAGAGGATAAA